GGCAGGTGTGGCAGGGAGTCCAGCACCTCACCAACTACAGGGCCAACCTCGGAGCTGCTGATGGTGACACCGCTCTGGCAGAGAAGTTGAACCTCTTCTTTGCCCGCTTTGAGGTGACACCACCAGGGACAGCATCACCAAACCCCACGGTCCACAGCAGCTTGAACCTCACAGTAGAGGAGCATGAGGTGAGGCGCACGCTGCGGGCCATCAACCCAAGGAAGGCTGCGGGACCTGATGGCGTCCCGGGACGTGTGCTGAGGGACTGTGCTGACGAGCTGTCTGGAGACTTCACAAGGATTTTCAACCTGTCTCTGGAACAGTCCACGGTACCGCCCTGCCTAAAGTCCTCCACCATAGTCCCCCTGCCGAAAAAACCCCACATTTCCAGCCTCGACTACCGGCCAGTAGCACTGACGCCAGTGGTGATGAAGTGCTTTGAAAAACTGGTCCAGAGTCACATCATTGCAACATTGCCCCGAAGCCTTGACCCCCACCAGTTTGCCAACAAAGCGAACCGATCCACGGAGGATGCCGTGGCCACAGCACTACATGCTACAGTGTCACACCTGGAGCAGCAGGGGAGCTATGTGCGGATGCTCTTCGTGGATTACAGTTTTGCGTTCAACACCATCCTGCCACACAAACTGGTGGTAAAACTGGGCGACCTGGGGCTTCCACATTCCACCTGCATGTGGATACATAGCTTCCTCTCGGGCCGCAGACAGAGGGTCAGAGTGGGCCGTCATACATCCACAGCCCTGATCCTCAGTACTGGCTCCCCCTAGGGCTGTGTACTGAGCCCCCTGCACTACTCCCTCTACACACATGACTGTGCCCCCGTCCACCATAGCAATACCATTGTGAAGTTTGCTGATGACACCACAGTGGTGGGGCTCATTTCTGGGGGGGGATGAGTCTTCCTACAGGGACGAGGTGGAGCGGCTGACAGCATGGTGCAGGGGCAACAACCTGCTCCTTAACACCGCAAAGACCAAGGAGCTCATAATAGACTACAGGAGAAAGAAAACGGACACTCCACCACTAACCATCAATGGGGACTGTGTGGAGAGGGTGGCAGACTTCCGCTTCCTGGGAGTCCACATTGGGTAGGGCCTGACCTGGAGCGCCAACACCTCTGAGCTACTGAAAAAGGCCCAGCAGAGACTTTTCTTCCTGAGAATACTTAGGAAGAATAACATCACACAGAAACTGCTGGTGTCCTTCTACCAAGCTTCCATCGAGAGCATTCTTACATACTGCATCTGTGTCTGGTACACCAGCTGCACAGTGGTTCAGAGGAAAGCGCTGCAGAGGGTCATCAATACGGCCCATAAAAATCGCCGGGTGCCCTTTCCCCACACTGGAAGAACTACACAGCTCCCGTTGCATCATAGAAATGCAGAACATTATAAAGGACTCTTCTCACCCTGGACACTCTCTCTTTGCGCTGTTGCCATCAGGCAGACGATTCAGATCAGTCAAAACAAGGACAAACAGATTCAAGCACAGCTTTTATCCTACAGAAATTACCACACTCAATACTGCTAATTATTAAGTAATACTGTTTACAATTGACTGTAAAATAGGGATGTGCAATGACAAAATGTACCTTTATGTGGGTATGTGGTTATACTTGGGCAGTTTTTATATATAAAATGTATTATCTTTTATTTTTATTTCTTGTTTTATTTATTTAAATTTACGAATGATGCACTGACTGGTGAGCACTTTAAATTTCGTTGTACTGGTGACAATGACAATAAAGGATCTATCTATCTCATATAACACGTCATACGCATCACGCTCACGCGCAATGCAAATGTTCACACACGTTGCCGCACGCATCTTAGCCATCAACTTGTTGAGGATGTGAGTCTTACGAACGCGTTAACATTCAAGTGGTAGGGTTTGGGGCGAGAGTTGGGGCGTGAGTTCCGTGGTGCGGGAAGAGGATTGGAGACGCGGGTTCTGTGTTAAGGTGCAAATGTTGTATCGTATACACGCACAAGAAAAAGAGAGCAACTGGCATCGTTTAGGACAATAACAAGTGCAGAAACGATGTTTAATTAGTTAAACAAAGGGAGGGGGTGATCATTTCAGACCCAGGACATATTTTTCCAATAAGGTCTATTATTTGTCAAACACGATGTTGCCCAACATGGTATTTTTCAGAAACATAACTCTCTCGAGTTTGGCGAGGTTTTCCTGTCATGTACATGGTTACGTGATGCTATCTGTTAAGACATGCAGGACTACAAGTTATACAATACATGGCTACATGACGCTCTTTGTCGCATATAACCTTAACCCAGGCTTTCAAAAACTCCAGTTGTGGCGACCCACCACACTAAAACTTTTCACGTTTACCAATGAACTCTCTATTTAAATACAAATCAACTTGTTCCACGCCTCAATGCACCCGAAGATTGTAAAACACGTCCTATGTGATGCGTAAAGCAATAAATGATGTCTTGCTAGAGCCGATTAAGATCTCGCTGTCCATGTGTGTACATGTGTGTGTAATGACCCTGTTCACGTTGGGGTGCGACAGGGATGTCCTCTGGCTCCAACATTATTTAACATCTATTTCGACCACGTACTTCGTGAAGCCTTCAGTAGCTGTACCGGAGGAATTTCCATCTGGTACAGATACAATGGGAGGCTGATCGATGCCCGGGTGCGGTCAAGGGATGGCTCCCTATTGGTCAACCACGTTATGTTTCATCTTCTTTGGTTCTTTCGGTAAAGTCACGTAGAATGAGAATAAAATAATAAATTGATAAAATAAAATAACACAATAATATTCTCACGACGTTTCGGCCACAACACAAGCGGCCTTCATCAGGTGAAGGGAGCGAGACTGTCTGGTAGGACAGCGCTGGAGTGAGAGAGCCACGTTCAGATCACGGCTTTTAAGCTGTGTGAGAGGAACAAAGAGCCTTGACGAAGGAATTAGCATAAAATTTAGCATTGAAAAGGCTGAATGATTAGCTTGTGACTGGTCACAGAAATAGCTATGTTAAAAGTTAAAGCATACACCTCCGCAGAGGCACCCATTGTTAAAAGGAATTAGCATAGAATTTAGCATTGAAGTAGCTAAATTAAGGCATTCGCTTGTAACTGCTACAGAAATAGTTACGTTGAAGTCAGAGCATACACATTCACCGAGGCACTTAGTACAAATCAAAACAGGAGAATTTAGCATTTAAATAACTAGGCGAATTTAGCATTGAAATAACTGGGTGATTTGCTGGTGACTGGTCACAGAAATGACTACATATCTGAGCTATTCACAGTACTATATAGTGAACCAATAAAAACTAAAATATAAATTACCTTCATGTTATCAATAAACTCTATAGTCTCCAATCAGCTAAGCTACCAACCATAAGTCGTTATATATCACAATGCTATATGGCGAAAAAATGGGTGGATTCTTACCCTCAAATTTCCGTACCACGGATAGCTACGGGCCCCGTTCAGACGGACGAGTTCGTCCATGGTCGGAACAGAGGAGGGGGAGAGAGACAGCTGCGAAGCCCTAGTATACTCCATGTTGTAAACCATACCATTAACCGTGGTGTGAGAGGTATTAAGAGGCAATGCTGTTATGTTTGCCGATGACCTGGTAATTGCGGCTCACTCAGAGGAGGAGTTGGAGGCGCTGCTGCTGAAACTGGAGTGTGCCTTACCATCAGCCCCACCAAAACTAAGCACCTGCCTGGGTATTTTTTACTATCAGGCACTCCACCCCCACAACTCCCAATCGGTGATGGGGCAGTTGTGGAGAGAGTGGAGAGTTTCCCATACCTGGGCAGTGTGCTCATGACCGGCTCCGGTTTAACAGCAGAGGTCTCTCTCCGAATCAGTCGAACGGCAATATATTTTCATCGGTTGCGTAACGCTGTGTGGAAACTACCTGGTCTATCACTCCGCACGAAGCTTCAGGTCTTCTCGGCCACGGTCATTCCCTCCCTTCTCTACGCTTGCGAAACCTGGACCCCCCTAATGGAACATCTTTGCCGGTTAGAAACATTTAGGCTGGCCTGCCTACTGTCCATCCGGGGTTTAACCAGGCTGGATTGTGTGAGGAGCTCACAATCATTGAAAGATGTGGACAAAGTCCCATCGGTGAGCTCCTCCGGCAGGCAAGGCTGCGTTGGCTGGGTCATGTAGCCCGCATGCCCAGCCACCGCATGCCGAAACAGCTTTTGTTCGGCCGGATCGAGGGGGCTAAACGGGCGCGGCACGGGCTAGAGAAGAGATGGAGTGATGTGGTACAGGAGGACGTGGAGCTGAGTGGACTTGCCGATGACTGGTACCAGCGGTGTCAAGATCGGCCTCTGTGGAGGAGGCTCGTGAAGGACGCTACTGGGCAGTTGGAGGCAGTCGCCCTCCAACAACAACGGAGGGCAGAGGTGCGACACTCACAATAACAAGCGGAGCGCCGGGCGAATAAAACGCAGCAAGGTGGCACAAAAGTGGGTACAGCTGGTGCATATACCAATCATCTCAGACAACCCATGGCACCTGGGTGTGTCCCGAGACCTCCTGTCAGCAAACCTTCGACACTTCACATGGTCTCAAAGTACGCCTGGCACAGGCACCGTGGTGACGTCACCGCCAGTTAGTGGCGAATGGCGGTTTTTGTTGTGTACACTTTTTCCACGGACTGGTTTTACCGAACGTTGTGTGTCTCCCCGAGTAAGATGGCAGAGCATCTCGCCACTTAACTCGGGTTTCTCCCCGAGTAATATGGTGGATCCTGGCTTTAATCAACTGTCGAGGGGCATCCCCGAGGAAAATGGTGAACTCCGTAATTGGCTCGACGTCGGTGCTTCCCTGAGTAAGATGGGGGACGCTGGATCCACTTTACATGACTGACTCTGCCCTCCACTCAACGTTGGGTTCCTCCCCTAGTAAGATGGTGGATGCTAGAGCCACTCGTGCTTCCCTGAGTAAGATGGCGGACTCTTTGCCCTCCACTCTCCGTTTGATTCCAAAGGCGTAAACATCCAACCTCACGTCTTCCACGAGGAATCGATTATGGAATCGAAGGGTGCTAGACACCATTGAGGGCAGTAGCAGGAAGGGCACTGCTGAGTTGCGGTGGCTGCGCGAATTCATCTTGATTGTATTTTGTTTTAAGCGTATAAAAGTCCAGCCGAACAGCTACTCCGTTCAACCTCTCGTGCACAGACGACAGCTTGCGGTGAGTGGCCGGGTTCTCTTAAACAGTGCCTACAATGTCCTCATATGTGCAATAATATAGGTTTGATGCACTAGTAACGAATTGACACGTTCTATCGTGATTTTAAGCTTTCGTGACTGCAGGAATCCATACTCTTTGGTTCTTTTCGTAAAGTCATGTAGGTAGAAATAAAACAATAAATCACGACGTTTCGGACGCAACACAAACGCCCGTCTTCAGGTGAAAATCGCGATAGCCGCTGTGAGCAGCACGATGTCTGCTGCCTTGGTGTTCTGTTTACGCGACAAACCTTACTAATTGGTTGTGGCGGGTTGAACGACACGCGATCTAACCCCAAAAAAACTATGTTATGGATGATATTGGTCGCGAAAGCATCGTATATGTGCTCTGTACTGTATGCATGGGTAGTACCTGGGTGACTTGTTGACATGCCAGTTTGAAACTTGTTCCTCTGGAATAGTTATCAAAATGTAATGTATATCGGGACCGTGTGGTGGATATGGTGAATACAGTATAGTGTAGTCTTCAACTACACTTATTAAATTTTACCAGGTAAAGCTCCACTGAGCTATGTAGCTATTTTTCACAAGCGATCTGGCCACATGATAGCTGAACGAAGTGGCTTGTGAGAATTTACAGCAGCCAAATACTCTAAGCGCATGTTTCTAAATACTGTATAGAGGGAAACATCGGAGCCGGAGAAAAATCCATACCACCACGAGGAGAACATGCAAACTCAAAATATACAGCAGCAGGCGTTAAGGTCGGAGTCGAACCAGGCGAGGTCGTTAACATCTCGTCACTCTGGCGCCCAAATCGTCGCTGTGTGTTGGTAAATGCGGAGCGAAAGCCTCGCCGCACCGTTATGGCCATATACGGGTTTTTTTACTATACTTTTCCACGCTGGTCAGCGCGAGTTTTTGAATGGGGTGGTGGCAGGACCGGATCAGACATCACTCGCCACTGACGTTATCCCTGACCAGGACTCCAACTCAAGTTGCCAGGTTCTTTTGCACTAACCACTGCGCCACCGCTCCAATGACCACCATCGGTGGACTCGCAGTGCTCACGATGGCAACAAAACACTTACCCCTACCCGAACCCACGACCTGAGGTCTTGAAGGCCACACAGTGTTATTGGCGAATGTGTTGGAGTTTTTGTTTATTCGAGCTCTTGCAGCACTGCCAAATGCAGTACAGCAGAAACTTGAATATCGCGGGGTTACGTTCTTGCAAAGTGCCGCGAAAACCAAAACTGCAATATTCAACACTAAGGTTTTCCCGATTTTTCGATTTACGAACATAATTCGTTCCTGGGACCCGTTTGTAAGTCGGAACACAATGTACTTTAAATGGCCAAATGGTCAGTGTTATGAAATGTGTTGCGGTTGTTAAACTCATAAATAACAATACAAATATTGTACATTTGCATGCAAACACTAGAATAATACTGTATAGTAAATCAAACATTAAGTAAAGTATATCTTGAGTCCTGATGCTGGATGGCTTGTCGAAAGGGTCGCAATAAGTAACCACAATTGCACACACACACATAGACGCACACAAAAAGACAAACAAAGACACACCAGGCAAACGTGCACGCACAAACACACGCACCAACGATCCCCCTTGTAGCCTGTTGGGGCAAGTGCCGCTAGCGAGCAGCGCCTATAAAGGCCGGAACAGCACACGAGGTGATGAGTGGCCAGCACCACAAACCTGGCGACCCAAGTTCGATTTCTGCTCATGCCCAACGCCAGTGACGATTATCTAAATCGGTCCTGGGCATCCCCTAGGTCGACTCAGCCACATAAGTACCTGGCGAAATGTGTAAATATTGCCACTTGGGAGACAAAGGCGGCCGCGTGTGGTGCTGGCTGCACACCCCTTGGTATGCCGTGCTGGCCTTCATAGGTGCTCGCTCACAGCAGTTGCCCCAACAGTCTGTTAACAGGGTATACGGTGGTCTTTGTCCGCAAAATGCTTGCACGGCAAAGGTTGAGGTGCCACTGACTGCCCCGTGTCCCTCGCCCGCACCACGGTATTATCAATAATAACTTCCATGTACAGTATACCCGCGAATGGCCAAAACTAACCCCCAAAACAACCCCTGCGATAGCTAAATTGGTGGACAGAGGTTGCCCGCGATAGGTTGAACCACCAACAAACTGGAAATATTCCAGGATCTTTCATCTTCAAGGTTATCCATCATATCCGATTATGATCTTCTTCCTCTGCCTCTTTTTGTGGGATTTTGTGTTACTGTAAAGTCCAATCCTCGACCCACAGCATCTGCTACAGAGAAAGTAGGCGAAGCCGCTGATTGGAGGTGGTAGGTATGGTTCTCGCTTCATGTCTCTTACGATGCTTCCTTTTCCGTAGCTCACTTCAATCCTCTTCGAGCTTCGACACTCCTTGCTGGCAGAACTGGCACCAGATGAAGCGTTCTGCGGCAGTGTCCTCCAGCTGGGTAGGGTTCAGGTTGCATTTTTTCATGGCCATCTTCAGTTGGTCCTTGTAGCACCTTTTCTGGCCCCCTGTAGAATGATGGCCTAGGTGCAGCTGGCCATACAATACTTTATGTGAAAGATGCTCCTTTGGCATCCTGATGACGTGACTGAGCCAGCGGAGTTGGTGCTGGATGATGGTAGCCTCCATACTGATGCAGTTGGTTTTTCAGTGTATCTCAGTATGGGGTACTCGGTCATGCCAGGTTATCCCCAGGATGCTTTGAAGACACCTAATATGGAAGGCCTCAAGCATCCTCATGTGACAACTGCACAAGGCCTACGTCTCCCAGCTGTAAAGGAGTGTTGTGATTACCACTGTCTGGTAAGCAGGTGTTTTAGTATGTAGGCTGAGGTCCTTGTTCTGGAATACCCTTTTTCTGAGCCTGCCAAAAAAGAATTATAACAGTGCGTATTTTTGCGACATGAGCTTTGGAGGTTTTGATCTATAACCAAAACCCTAGCTCTCAGTACTCGCAACGCTGTGGTTTAGTTTATGGTTGGGCCCCTGTTTCACGCGACGCACCCGATGACCGTGTGCGGAGTATAAGAAGGATCACTGCCAGTATACTGCAAAATAATGGCATTTACTTTGAATTACATTTTTATAGTCATTAAATTGTTTCATGGTAACAAGTTTGCTACTTCTCCGGGGGAGTGAAAATATCACCAACATTTGATTTAAAGCTTTCGTGACTGCAGTAATTCATATTCTTATCTCTTTCGGTATTTTTTTTTATATATATATTTTATTGTTTCCCTTCAACGTGACTTTACCGAAAGAGCTAAGCATATATATCACCAACAATTATAGCAACCCAAATCACCCTCATAACAGCAACAACAAACAATACCAATCATACAACGACCCGACAATACTGGTTTCACGGATTTCTTCAAATACGAACGCTGACGGGAGACAGCTGCGGAGCAATGATCCAGCGTTTGTATGAAGTGTTCCCCAGTTCTGGAACAGATTGAATTAAACGTTCCAAGGACAACTTCACAGCCCTCAGGTGGTCACCTCCCTTCTTCCCCGCGAGTGTCCCAGCTGCCGACGCCCCGCAGTCTTCAGCATTCGCGGAGGGCTATTTTCATGGCAGCTGCAGGTGGTTTTCTGTGACAATCTACTCCTGGCTCCAAGACGAGGGTTGCTGGGATGACACATCAGCAGTCAACAGCAGAACCCCAGTCGATTGCGCTCACAGGCCAGCAAGTTGTTGTCACCAACACTCCTGGCTCCAAGATGATGGTTGCTGGGATGACACACCGACATGGCTGACTTTCTTGCCGTGAATGAGGAGGAGTTTCACCGTGGTCAGCGTGGTCTCAAGTCTGCAGCAGAGCGGACGCGTTGATCAAGACGAGGGGCAGAACGGACCCCGGTAGTCTCCGCGGCAGACCCCTTTATTGAGTCAAGCCCTTTGTTCATAAAATGGGTTAGCGTAGCGTGCTAAAATTAGTCCAATCCATCATGTTCATGAGCTGATCAAATCGCACACCTGCAAACACTTTTACACAATGCCGCCCCGTGCATCCCTCGCTCCTCCTCCCCCCCCAAAGCTATCCCTCTCTGACTGCCACATGGATGACGCCTGCTTTACTCGGTTTTGTACTTCGCTTTCAATGCTGCAGTCATCTGACAGCTGCCCAGGTGCTTAAAGGATTCCACTAAAGTGAGTGGTTTCTCAAAGACGGTGAAGGGGGCCACGAGCGCACAGTCATCAACATGCTGCAGCTCGATGACAGGCTCAGATGTTATTTTTTGTGACAACTCGGAGCCTCCTGATGTTAAAAAGGTTGCCATCCAGCCTAAAGTCCCTGTAACACCACTAACTATACCCAGTTTTTTTTAATGTAGGAATTTCTGTGGTGAATGGAGGTTGTGGTTGTGTGTTCAGGTGCATCCCTGTTGGCTGACAGGCCATCTCTTGTCTGTGCCCTTTGTGTGTGTGCTCACATGTGTATGTCTTTGCTTGGATGTGTGGTAACATGTATTTATGTGGGGTCTGACAGTTACTCCCCCCCCCCACCATCTCTGTCTTTGTCACCCCCTCTGTAGCAATGCTTAAGCCGGTTGCGTCCAAGTTGACCGGAAAGTGCGTGGTGCTGGCCAGTGCCTCTCCACGCAGACGGGACATCCTCACCAACATTGTACGTGTTGGTCGGTGCCGCAGCCCAGCAAGAGAGAGTATGTTTGCTGCTTGCCGCAGAGGTTTATGGTTCTAATGCAGTGACTGCCCTGGTTGTTACTACGGGGTATATTAACTGCTTCACGCTAAAGATCATGTGACATCATTCGCAAAACTTCACCCACGGTGTGGACCCTCTTTATAAGAGGCATGAGTTTCAATGAGGATTTCCTGGGTGAATAAGTGAAATGTGTATCTATGATATTTTTGAAGTGTCATCCCACCCAGTACAGCCTTGCTGAGGCTTGCCACACATTTTCAGGAGGGTCCTGCTTTGGAGTGTTTTGCTACAGCAAAAGCATTGCCCCGAACGTTGAAGAGAGGGGTAGGCAGCAGCTAGTCTATGGGGAATATTTAAGATAGTGAGTGTGATCTAGAAATTGGTAGGGAAATAAAGCATTAAAATACAGATAAGATGCACGAGACTACAAGTACTGCTCACACACTCCCCACATTTTTGTCTGTCTCTCCACCCCTCTTGTGCACAACTCTCCAAAGTAAATAGGAATGAACTGTGTGTCCTTAAACCAAGCACAGCACAGCACTTTTAACAGAGTTTGGCTGACTGTGGTCGCTTTTGACCCTGGACACACACGACCCTTGAATTCACAAGCAATCCATCACTGCCACCTCTTGTCTGTTGAGCACTGAGGAATGGCCATTGCTAAACTAGAAACCCACCACAGTGTAATAGCGAGTATGCAAGTGGGGCTTCAGAGAGGTGGTGCATTACAAAGATTGCCCCATTTCATTCCTTGCACCAGAGTCCATTGCATTCATGCTATGCCACTGAGACCCATAATCTAATCCAGTAACTGGCAAGCACAAGTTGGGAAGAATCAGCACAAGTGCTATGGACATCAACAATGGCCCTTGTGTACTCTGTTGCCGAGTACTTTGTGCCATTATGTACCAGAAGTAGCCACTCTCGACTTGTTGATGCCCAGCTGAACACTGAAATGCGGTGTATCACTGGAACTCTCAAGTCAACCCCAACACCCCAGCTGCCCGTCCTGTTACACATCTCTCCCCCACCCATCCGCGATGATGCTGCAACCCTCTGGGAAATCCTGCAAATCAAGGAAAGCAGTCGCCTTCCTATTCATCAGGACCTCAATAACATCCCTCACCATCGTTTGAAGTCACACAAGCTTTTGGACCCATGCACTTAACCTTAAACAATCAGAATTCAACCTGATAAAGCTGGGAGAGCTGAATGGATATTCAAAAGAACTCAAAAACACCTAGGTATGAAAGATCCAATACAGAAGATCTCTGGGTTTGATCGTCCACGAAGCTCATGGCGCACCCTAAATCACATCCACATAAACCATGGCAGATGCGGATACCTGATGCACAAATGGAAATTGTCAAACTCTCCAGTGTGCAACTGTGGTCATCCATAACAGACCATACAATATAGAACGACACAATGCCCGATCCACATATACGAAGGAGACATTACAGCGATACACTCCGCTGCTCTTAATTAGGTTATCTGGCTTGACCACTTGGATGTGAAATTATAGTTTCTGCTCTGCATTTGCCATACGAAAGAAGAATAAGTCTGAGACTCAGTTACCCGTAGTATCTCATAGAGATCCATAATATAAATATGTAACACCTATATAGATGATCACAACCCATAGACTAGCATAAGAACCATTGGTGAAGTTCAGGTGGTGAAACTGCACCGGGGCCCATGGGCCATAAGGGCCAATAAGCTTGGCCTAATAAGAGAGGGCAAGGTTGGTACTTTCTGACAGCACTTGCCCCAACAGGCCATTCAAGGCTACGCCGAAGATCTGTCCTGAGCTAGGTTTTTGGGTTTCACTTTCTGTATGGATAATCAGCATGGCTCGGCAAGGTTGCTTTTTGACTGACTGTTGTCGTGGATTGTGGTTTGCAGGGGTTGAAGTTCGAGGTGGTCCCATCGTGGTACTCGGAGGACCTGAGCAAGGCTGAGTACCCGGCGCCGTACGCATACGCGACTGAGACTGCCGTGCGCAAGGCCCTGGAGGTGGCGAAGCGCATGCACGAGGTAGGTCACCGCTGCAGGCTGGCTGGCAGGAGATCCAGCGATTCGGCAAGGCAGTCCAATAATGCTCATCTCTATGAGCTGGAATGCTGCTCTCCAACAACACATCGGTTTGCTGAAGCAATAATAAATTGACACAATTCTAGAACAATGTGATTATAATATAGTCGGTGTGATTCTAATCCCGCACCTCCGTTTAGTGTGGTTGGCTACTTATGGTTTGATAGAAGTTCAACAATGCGATTCAAATATGAGTACAGTGTGTTATAGTTTATAGTGGAGTAGTGTTATAGTTTACAGGTTGTAGTTTATAAGTTATAGTGTTAGAGTTTATAGTGTGAGAGGTTACATTGTAAGAGTTTATCAAAGACGTCGATAAAAGGAGTTATACCATCATGAGACATCAGCATGTTGCATGTATAAGAGCAACAACAGTAGCAACAACATCAACAGCAGCAACAACTGCAGCAACTACACCTTGCGATGGCGATGCTGCAGCAGTTGCTGCCCGGCTGTTTGCTGCCCAGCTCTGCTTTCACGGGGCTTCGGTTGAGCGAGCCGAGCTGTCTGGTCAAGCAATGCCTCCCCTCTTCTTTGGAGAATGGGGGGGTCATACCTGAAACTTCTCTTGGCCTGAATCGACAAACCAATTCTATCTCACCCAAACGTCACTGATACTGTGGTGGGACTCACCAGCAGACTCTGCCCAGAATCCAACGTCCAGAAGGGAGTGCTTATTAGCCGACTTTAAGGTTAAAACTACTTGAGCTCTGCACCCACTGTGCTATGATCTGCGGTGGAAATGCTTACCCATACCCGACAGTGTTCTTCACTTGTTGCAATGCCTCGCATATGGTTGTGCTGCAGATCTTGCCAGTTCTCCCACCCCACAATTACACACGATCACGGAAGAGCACCTTCATCGACATACTGCTTCTGTCAGATATCGACCTGAACCTTGGACCCAGGCTCTTCAACTATGGATTTGTCGAAGCATGCTCCATAATCAACAAAACGGTGTTGATCCATGATCTGATCAACGATTGTGGACTCGCCATATTGTCCATTGCCGAAACCTGCGTATATGGTGAGCCACCGGATGTAAACACCGGATGTAATTAAGCATGAGGCTGCACCTTACGGATACGCTCTTGTACATCAGCACCGTCGCGGGAAGGCTTGCACCGGCAACCCACATGGTGGTGCGATCACTCCGATTCACCGTAGAGATATCTGCATGAATGTCCTAAGCGACTTATTAAAAATCACATAATTAGAGCTGCTACTTGTGAAAATAACGAACAGCATGCGGGGGCTTACGATCGCTGTCGTCTATTGCCATCCTCACCACTGAATTATTTTCCGAGCTTTCCAGTCTGCTGGACTATGGGTCACTTGGATCTTGCTACATCATCTGTGGTGACCTAAACTGTCCCGAAGTGACTGGTTCTTGTGGTAATATCTCAGTGATTATCTACAATCACAGTTTAACCCAGCACGTCAGTGGCGCAACATGTTTCTCGGGAAATATACTGGATCACATCTTCACATTCGCCAATGCCATAACTGTGACCAACGTTCTCGAAGACATGGGTATTTCAGATCACAGTCTCGTGACGTGCAAAGTGGCGTTACTGATCATTCGCCCACCCGTTACAACGATATACAGAGACTGGAAATGACTGGACCACGATGCTTTCTGTCAGAAGATGAGGTCATCATTGGTGTGTTTAAATCATGCATCAACGGTCGATTCCTTTGCACCTCAATTATAAAATGACATCACTGCTATTTTTGATGAACTCGTGCCCATCCGAACAAGCACAAAGACAGGGAAAGTGGGCAGTAATTGGTTGTCACCGGAGGCAAACACTGCAAAACAGACGTGGAGGAGGCTGGAGTGTCTTTAGAAGAAAACTGGTTTCGAGACTGACTCGCTTACAGAGCCGGTTGCAGATCTGCTGACTGACTCATTATTGTGTCTCGCAGACCTTTCTATGCTCTGCGCGTTAATGAGTTGACTCAGCCTTTCATCCTCTGTGGTGCGTGGTGAAGGGTCTGCTGCGTCCATCAACTAGTCAACCAAGTCTGTGCTCAGTACTTGCGACATTCTTCACCGATAAGATATTGACGATCAAGACGGCAGTTTCTAACATGAAGGCAACGCATTCTCGCAGTCTGCCATCTAAGTTTCATCAACCTGGAACCAATGCAAAACTCGAGACCCTGGCACCAACGTTGGTGGCAGAGGTGTCAATGTTCATTGCACGGCTGCCAAAACAGACATCGCCGTTCGACTAGATCCACACGTCGATTGTCAAATCATGCTCGGATGTGCTTACGCCGCTGATTGTCCACTTGGCAAATCTTTCATTCGGCAAGGGCTGTTTCCCAGACCAGTTAAAAATGACGCAGGAAACACCGCTCCTGAAAAAAGTTGGCTTGAGCCATAGTGACCCCGTAAACTATCGCCCAAGTTCAAACCGTAGGTATAATTTCAAAGGGCATAAAGTCCCGATGTTAAAAGCAATTACATCCCAACCTTGTTGCGGCGATTCAACCCATTGCAGTCGGCGTACCGGAAGCTCCACAGCACTGAGACGGCTCTACTAAAGACCCCTGATGACCTCTACAAGATCATGGATGACCGGGACGCCACAGATTTGGTTGGCCTTGATATCTCAGCCGTTTTCAATACTATCAACCATGAGATACTTATCGGGTGGCTAACATTAAGGTTCGGTGTACCGGGTACAGCACTGCGGTGGATTGAGTCATACCTATATGGTCGATTACAGTTTGTAAATCTGGGAGACAAACAGTCATCGCCTATGCAGTGGCTAGTTGGCGGATCACAGGGGTCCGTCTTCATGCCTTTCCTTTTGTCAACATATGCTTCTCAGATTGCCGATGTCATGTCAACGCATGACAGACATTTACGTTATATACTGATGATACACAATTGTACACTGCAGTGAAGTCAAAGTTAGACATGGAAAGCCTCGTTAATCTTGAAGATTGTACGCGAGTGGTGCACGTGTGGTTTGCACGAAACAAAATGCTGCTTAATTAAAAAAAAAAATTCTGCTGGTTAGTACTCAGGCGAAAAAATTGCATGGGAGAATCAGGTGTGGCAGTTGTAGACTTCAGAATTCAGTTTTCTACTCATCTAAAGAGCCTCGGTACCATACTCGACCAGAATGTCGTTTGATCACCACATGAAAAATATATTCATATCAGGGCTCTACGACACATTCGACTACTGTTGAGTCATGACATAGCCACCATTTTGGCATGGAGCATAGTATCGATAAGGCTCAATTATTGCAACTCACTACTCTAGGGACGTGTGGCAAAAACATGACCAAGCTGCAGTGTATACAAAATAATTATCTGGCACTTTTTGTGATGGGTACTACAAGATCCGACCATGTCCGTTCAGTTCTCACTGTGCTGCAGTGGTGTCCGGTTCCCGAATGAATACATTATGAGGTCGCACTCATTACACACAAAGTGCTTGCCACAACTGAACCACAATACCTTGCTGATCTTGTCAAAGAGCATAAACCATCACGCTAACTCCGGTCATCCTTGCTGCAGCTTTTGGCTAGCCATCGAATAAGATGATCACTGCATCGCGCTTCTGTGGCCGTCTAGAACACTCTTCCGATATTAGGAAGCCACTGGAGATATGCATTTTAAAATCTAGATTGAAAATGTTTTTCTTTAGAAATGCGTTTTGTGTTTAGTTTGTTCTTGCCCCGCACCTCCGATTAGCATGGTTAGAAAACATACCGTGCTAAAGAAGTTATACATACATATGTAGTGTTGTCTGTGCGTGCGGGTGGCATACGTCGCACACACAGTCAGCCAGAGACGAGGTGGTCACAGGAGGCACCAATCTCCCCTTTTATTGTTGCCGAGCTCACACCACCACTCGGGCCCCCTCTCTCCCCCACACATGACCCCACTGCCACACGACCCGTCCCAGACACGACCCTGTCTGTGTTGCACCGACGGCATCGACGGGGACAGCCAACTACTGTCCGGCCGTGCAATGATTGGGCGAAAGCGGCAGCGACGAGGGCGGTGACGCCGACAGCGACGACGAGACGAGTCCAATCCCAGAACCGGCAGCCCGGAGCTCTCGCTCTCCGCTGCTTATATCCCCCTCGGCACGGCTTGACTCCGCCCTAGCCGGGCCTCCCTTCTCGAACCCACCAGAGGGTTCCAGGGGCATCCACACGAGGTCTGCCATGACCCTTGCCCCAGTTCCTGCGCCCTGTCGGCACACCCGCTTATATGCTCAGCGGCGTGTGCGCTAAGTGCCCACCTGCAGTTGCAGCTGCTGTCCAACAGTCAGTGCAGTGTCACTACACATGCATGACAACTTTATTCATTGACTGTGTCGGGTGGAGGAGGGTTTACGACACATTTTACTTGCACGATCTGACCCAAAATTTTATTATGAAGGTTGCGCATTGAAGAAGACAGAGGATAGTGAAACAAATGACAAAATGTTTAGTGCACCTATGGACTATCTGCCCATGGATCGTGATGATGAATTCCCTCTTCAGCTCTTTGATTCTCTTGTCAGTGCTGATGTCTCTGATCCATGTGTCATGCCTGGCAGTACGCACTGAGTGAAAACTTCACACACATCGGTACACCACTTTCCCAACAGCTTGCTGAGATGCAATTCGCGACAAAAGAAAAACTAAACAAGGTTCTGCGTGCGTTTTATTTAAACAGAGACATCAGAAAACACCAGACTTGGTGATCGGAGCTGACACAGTAGTGGTAAGTTAAAACGACAATCATTAGACATGCGCTTACAATTTGTATTCTTGTGTAATTCAGCATTGGGACATTAGACATGGATTGATGATTGGATGAATGTATTAATTTTGTTTCTTACGCTCGCGACACATGTATTGAGTTGTGTGGGAACGAGTCGACAATTTATCTAATCCCAGCTGGTGAGGTGAATCATTGCAGCACTCGCTTTCACCATCTCATTTGTATTGTTTCTCTTTTCTTCCGTTTCTTCGGAATGGTTTCGTTTGCTCCGTTAACCTAAGCGTGATGTCGCCGTAACGCGCGTAGCTCATAAACAATCGATTCTCATGCATGCGATCTAAATCCTGCATCATGAGCTTAAGAATCAGTGTTAGTCGATTAATCAATTCGTTGCCACATATCTACTAAGCATGTTCGTGTTTGACACAAACACAAAAATAGCCTATACATGCTGTTGGGGCAAGTGCTATTTGTGACGCACAAGAGAGACAGACATATGTGGCCAGCACTGCCCCCGGCCACTTGTCTCGCAGGTGCTGATATTTACCGTATTTTCCCGCATATAGCCCGCATACGCATATAACCCGCAGACGCATATACCCTGCACAAATAGCGTTTTGTCTAAAAAAAAATTCAGATAGCCCGCACCTCCATATACCCCGCATGCATTCATATCTTTAACGTCGTTACCGCATCTTAATTCCATCATATTAATACAAAGTTTACATTTGTAATACATTCCACTTTTAATTGTTAACATTAAAATCATAACGTGCACAAAGAAAACAAACTAACTGGAAACGAGTGAACTTAAAACAGGAAATAGTAACAAAAGTAAATATCCAATAAATAAGTAACACATAACTGGTAGATAAGTACTGTAAGTAAGCGTACTGTTAGGCTTACCAGCATTTGACCTCATATTACACCTACTGGACCGGTAGTTACCCCTGTACAGTTTTAGCACTGGTAGATTGCGCACTGCGCAGACAATAGCGGCACTACGGTAATGCCATTGCCTCCTGGCAACAAAGCCATTTGAAGTTTGAAACAAAGCTCATGGTCGCGACTTATAGTGCTCAGCTAATAGCAGCGGCCTAAGGAACTCAGCAATTATGATTCCGCGTCTGGTAGATGCTTGTTAAGGCCCTTCCCATTGTGCAATCCATAGCCTCAGCTGAAACTTTCGCACCCCCCTACAGCCACTGAAAGTATTACGGTAAACAAAGTGCGCCCACTTCAAACATTGTCGTTTCATTGTACAAACAATTCGAATCATTTAAAACGTGATAACATGTGCAATTTTAGTGTGAGTGGTTTATTCAGCAGTGTAGAGGAACCATGGCCACGGTCAGACTCGTCACAGCTTAACTAAGTTGCCTGTTTATTAACTAAATACCGCATAAAATACAGCACATTACACAATAAGATAATACAACATAAATAAACAATACATTTACTTTACATACCTTTAATATTGAGGGTAGAAGTCCATTATTATGATGACAATGATGATGATAATGAATTTATGGGGGAAGGGGTGGATAGAAGGAAGAGGGTCTCAGCCCACCTTCTTCCTCTGGGTCATCAAAGGCAGATGAGTGATTAGGTAAGGAGGCAGGCACAGCGGCAGGCACAGTGGTGCTGGTGGCTGGACCAGTGGTGCAGCTTATTTTTCTTTTAAAAAATTAGGATGGATGGCTACTGCATTATTTTTGTGTAAGTCCCGGTACACCTCCCTGTATGGTTGCGATGTGGCACGGTCTATGCGCTGCGAGAATCACAACCAAATAGATGGATAAGTGATAAGCTACGCAGCACCATGGGTGGTGTGGTGGCGCGGAGGAGAACCGCGTGTTAGGGATCGGTGCTTACCCGTGGATACTCAAAATTTCCAGACCACTTTTGGTAGATTGGTATACAGGTAATAAATTGTGCATACATGAATTCCGCCGTTGGCAAGTCCACGGTTGGCGAGAGATTGCTGTATATTCCTGCTAATGGCATAGCCAAGACAGCAGGGTGGTGCGATGATAACATTTGTGCTGCACAGCAAGAAATTCCTGGGTTCAACTCCCAATACAGACGGCTTTCTGCGGGGAGTTTGTCTGCTGTTCTGCACGCGTTTCCTCCGGTTTCTCCAATTTCTTCGATTTCCTCTCCATGGTAAAAAAATACCTGCAAATTACTCATGGGATTAGACACAGCAACATCGCAGCCTGCTACGAAAACTTAGCAGGAATCGCCGCCTAAGGAGTCTTGAGACTCGTAGAGGTTTGCCTGGGTAAACAAGTACAGTAATAATAGTGACAAATTTGCTGCTTTCAGGCGATCGATGGCGATATTCTGGAGAAGCCCGCAGACAAACCGGATGCATACAGGATGCTGTCAAGGTAACGAACGCTGGTCCACACCACAGCAGTGTCGCTGCAGTGTAAAGGATTTACACAAAACATGCGCAGACGCACTTCGCAAGATAGCGCTCGGATGTACAGGTAGTCCCCGAGTTACGATGGTCCGACTTACGATATTTCGATCTTACGATGGCGATAGTGATACGACAAAATTGGCATCAACAACCTAACATCGTTCAAGTATGCAGACGACGGACATAATCTTGGTGAGTACAGTACAATATGATATGTTACGATACGTTCAACGCATGTATGATACGTAGCTTTAGCGACTGAATTTGAGGGTTACCACGATACGATACGTTCAATGCATGTTAAAGTTTTTTTTTATAGCAGATAGGATTGTTTCCTGAAACAACTTTCTATTAAATTGTAGTTCATATTGGTAGGCTAAGAATTTACCTTGTTTTTTTACTTTACATTTACTGTGCAATACAGTATTGTAATTAATAAATACATACAGTATATAGTTTATACAGTACTGTAAATTGCTCTGTTTTGCTAAATTATCACCATTCTTTAAGACTCCTGGGTAGGCTAGGCCATCTTCGACTTACGATATTTTTGACTTACGATGGGGTCGTCGTAATGCATCTCCATCGTAAGTAGAGGACTACCTGTATATTGCAGTACACTGATGCAATGAACACTCAATCCCATAACCTTGCCAACTTGTTGTTTCTTTTTAAATTATGCTTGTTTACCAAAAAAAAAGCCTCACTGAGTCTCTAGACATTTTTTGAGGAGGGTCCTGCAAAGTATTCAAAGGAGGGGGTGATGTTAAGTGTATTCCCAATTGAGTAATTTGCAGGTACTTTTTTTCACATTGGGATGTGTAGCCAATGCCAGTTACACAGATTATATGTTTTAGTTATTGGAAGAAACAACCCATAAGACACCCATGCAGATCAGAGGGAGAACACAAACTCCACACACCTACACAGTCTCACTCACACACAACAAAGATCCCCCGTAAAGCCTGAACAGACTGTTGGGGCAAGTGATGTTAGCGAGCACCTATGAAGGCCGGTATGGCACACGAGGGGGTGGGTGGCCAACACCACGCTTGGCCACCTTTGGCTCCCGAGTGGTGATGCTTTATACACTGCACCAGGTATTCATTTGAGGCTGAGTCGACCTAGGGGAGGCCCAGGACAGGTTCAGATAATTGTCATTGGTCTTGGCCGTGAGTGGGAATCGAACTCGGGTCGGCAGTATCGCAGTGCGCTAATTGCTACACTACCGCTCCCCACTCACACAATATGCAGAATAGGAGCAGGACATACAAACTCCACACAGAAAGGCACCTGAGTTGGGAATTGAATCCAGGCCTTTCTTGCTGTGAGACACGAACGAGTGTTATCACAGCACGACCTACCCCGCCACTCAATAGAAAATGCTGGCGTTTTTAGATCATTATTATACACTGCCATGTATATCGTGTCATTCGTTTTTATGGAAACTTGTTCTCGTGCCAGAAGCCACGCCCAGCGTAATGCAGCCAGTTCTGTCAGGAAGCCCCGCTCATCACCTCACATCCAGCAGCACATGTGGCAAGGAAGGCTGTTTATTGCTTTGATGTCTGCTGGCAGTCGGCCTTGAAAAAGTGCTTCTTAGCTCAATGGGCTTTACTCAGTGGGAAATACACTCCAGGTTCTGATTATGTCCAACCACGTTCATGCTATCCGAATAGTCGAGTATTGATACAGACAATTGGTAGAGTACAGGTATCCCTCGATTTACGAACGGTTGGTTTACGAAATTTAGTGTGAACACAATTGACAAATTATGGACACATTTTGATTAACAAAATCGAATTTCCGCGTTAACGATATTTCACTACGGCCACACACCACGAAATCATCAAACAAGAAGCACCCGGGATGCTGCGTCGTCATCCGTCTGTGACAGCATCACAGTGTCCCCTGCAGGGCAAAAGTAACGCCTCTGCATCGCCTTGCTAGTCATTCCAACATGCAGCAGATATTCTTTTGAGTTCCCTGAGAAGGTAAAAAATAAATTTAAGTTTATTATTCAATATCATGGGACCTCCTTTGCCAGTATTAAATTATGATAATAGATTTTTCCCCTTTCTGGAAATGAGACAGGTGTTAAGATGTTAAAACACCAAACTGAGACCTTTGCAAGCAATCATGTCTGCATTAACCACATATACTTGTGGTGAACATGCAAACAAAAAAACATGCTCTGACAGTGTGCATTGTCTTTGAAACTGATTGGTCCACACCAGAGACAGCTTTCTTTAGAGCCTAGTCTCAAACGGTGTTAGACCAGAGGACGCCAAAAGGCGAACTGCACAAAGACAACGCACTATCAGGACATTGAGAGCTCGGGGCGAGCAGCTACATCATGGGATCTCCTTCGCAAGTATGAAATTATGATAATAGGTTTTTCCCCTTTCTGGCAATAAAACAATTATTCTTATTCAATAGTTTTAATATTTATGTTCTGTTATTATTTTTGTATTGTGAAAAGTGATATAGCTGTACTTTTTATATGAGTAGAGTTGTATTGATTGTCGAAACACATTCATAATCTGTAGTATTCAATTAATGGGAAAAGCCATTCCAATTTTTATTAATGGGAAAAGCCGTTCCGAAATTTAGCGTCACTCGTTCTTTTCGAAGAATGCATCCCTTTTGTAAATCAAGGGATACTTGTGAAACGACACCCACACACGTGTACTTGGAGCCTCTTTATTTTCTGACACAGCACTAACGCTATGCCCGGCTTCTTCTTGTGCCTTGAAGCTCGTACCTTGTCCAGAACGTCACCACCCCTTGTGCTCTCCCATTTTATCCCTTTCGAGCCCTTTCTCTCGAACTCTCTATCAGTTTTTCCTCCAGGCAATCCCTGTCCTTCTCAATCGTTCTCAACCGGTCGCCTCTAGGTTCAACTTCTGCTTACTGCCATTTTCCATTTGAACCTCTCCTCCAATCCTTCCAAACCCTGCCTCCCGACCAATCATCCTGGAGGCCTCTCTACGCCAATAGGAAGTCTAGGCCTACTTCCTGGAAGTCCATTTGGCTGAACATTTGCTTTGGGTCAGTGCTTCCTAATTGCGGTCATTACACTTGTAATGAATTACTTAAGCAACTGATAACACCCGCAATTCAAATCCCAAGTCAACTCAACTCGATGTCTGTTATGTTTGTGTGCGTGGTTGTATGCGTGCGTGTGGCAGGCTCAGCGGGCGAGAGCACAGCGTGTTCACCGGCGTGGCGTTGGTCGAGTGCTGCGTTTGCGAGGGTGAGGTGTAACACGACCGTTTCTCCTAGGCTGGCCGAACAGTCCAGGACAATGTATCATAGAAGATGTGGCCAGGTGGTTCAGCAGTTGGGGCCCTGAGCCGACACCACAGATCCTGGGTTCGAATCCAGGTTTAATCCACCCATGATGAAAGCAAGTTCTCAAGTTTTGTGAGCCGATAGTCTCATCTGCTAAACAGATGAATGCAAACTAAAAAATTGGGTTTTCACGTAATTTAATAAAATTCCAATACTGACAATTAAGCATTTCCATCGCGCATTCATTCTGGAGGAACCGAGGCACCAAGGGGTGCCAGTTCATCACTACCACTTGGCCCATGCCAAGCATAGTGGGGAAGATAGTGCGTGCATCTGTCTGCTGTCTCAGTTTACCCATAACACCTGGGTCTGTCCCATGATCTCCAGCCAGCACATCTTCCACACTTCACGTGGTCTCAAAGTTGCACGTAAATTGCCACAATCTTTGTTATGTCACCGTGGCTTAGTGGTGAATGGCGGCAGTTGTGCATTTGTGCTGATGTGTTTCTGTGCGTGTGTGCAGGCAAGTTACAGACCAGCGTAGTGCAGTTTCACGAGGAGACGCGAGTGAAGTTTGCGGAGCTCTCAGAAGAGTTGCTTTGGGATTACATCGACAGCGGAGAACCAATGTGAGCAAGTAGGCCTGTAGTGATTACACATTAAATTTGGAACTTTGGGCCAATACGGTCCAACAGTTCCAACCACATGTAAATGTTGGCTCAATGTTGGCGTGTTTAACCACGTAGCTTCACCCAGCGATTCCATCATGCCGGTTGGTGAAGGTAGGGAGCACACACGTGGGCATAGGAATACAGAACAACAGTGGATTTCATATTCTTTGGGTCTTTCGGTAAAGCCACGTAGATAGAAAATTAATACGTTTAGATGGCAACACAAGCAATCGTCATCAGGTGAATCTGGCTTCTTCGAAAGGAGGTTGAACTAGGAAATCAGGTTGTCTTTGCATTTATCTGACAGAGGCAGCTGAAGAGGCTGTCATGTTATCTACATGGTCCAAATCAGATGTTGACATTTTTTCTGTCAATGTTAAGTGTGATTGCAAGAGAGTCTTGTCTAAATTATCTAGTTCAAATCGGAGCAATCTTATTCTCTCTGAGATCAGGGCTAGGTCGGCCCTGAACAAGATCCGTTTAGCATTAGAAGTGACTGTAGCAGACGTCAGTGTAAAGGCGATCGGTATTACCTTAGTGTCGCGGCATCTCTTCAGAAAAGTGAGTGACTCGATCAGATGAGCCTTCTTGTCTCGAAGTCAGTTAAAAGATCTAATATTTGTCTCCACTTCCCTCTGCTGCCCACATCGTAGCCCCACATCATCCTATGACAACCTGCTGTACATCGTGGTCGCCCATTCAAGCACTACCCAGGCTGAACCTGCTTGGCTTCCTACATCTGGCAAGATTTGCTTTTGACCAACATACCCACTTGTAAATTATCACCCCTTATGTTAAAGCAGTTTGGCCTGGTGTAGTGGATAGAGCATGCAACTTGCAATCAGAAGCATGCTAGTTAAATTCCCATTTGGGTATCCGCTCTGACCCATCATCCCTCTGAAGTTATTAAAATAAATACCACTTTGTAGTACGTCATCGGTGGCTATTGTCAGGTTTGTTGTCGCCAAAAAACACGGCATTTCCACCGCTGGTCACAGCCACTCCCGGAGAGCAGTGTTCTATTATTGCTCATTTGAACAGCCTTGACGACTGTCGATAGACAGTTTGACTTTGAAATTGAAACAATCATATTCTTGGTTCTTTCAGTAAAGTCACGTAGAAGGGAAACAAAATAATAAAAATATAAAACAATTAAATTCTCACGACGTTTCGACTGCAACACAAGCAATCATCATCAGGTGTGGTTTTCACACCTGATGATTTTTCACACCTGATGATGATTGCTTGTGTTACAGTCGAAACGTCATGAGAATTGAATTGTTTTATATTTTTATTATTTTATTGTTTCCCTTCTACGTGACTTTACCGAAAGAACCAAGAATATGAATCTCTGCAGTCACGAAAGCTTTAAATCAAAAAATGAAACACAATCATTATCTTGGAGATACATACATTGGCTGTATCCCAGACTGTTGGACATGATTATGAAGTTTTGTTCAAATCATGGACAGTTGAGGTGACTGGGTGACCCAGAATTCAGAGCGCTGGGCTGGCACCACAGATCCTGGGTTCGAATTCAGATTTCAGCCACTGCCTGTGTTTAAACCAGGTTATTCTCAGGTATAGTGCACCTGTGGTCTCAGCGCAATAACTAATCACTGCACAATTAGATTTTTCCATTAATTTTGCAACATTTCGGTTTTACGGCCATACAACAATCATCCATACTGCACGGCATGTGGTAAGGTGCACCACCATTAGTTTGGATAGGAAGACCCTTGAAGGATCTCAGAAGTGGTTTTGCGATGGCAACTCCGGGGGCAGTTCGCTTACTACAGGTGAATCTACACTTAACTTTGGCTAAGTCCCCACCGTAGGTTTCACTGCCAAGTACTGTTCCCTGATATGTGTACCAGAGGTCACTTGATTGTACTTTTGTGGTTTCACCTTCTGCAGGCCAAACTCTAACACACACAGGGTTGAGCATTGCAATAGTTCTGAAAGTAGACTTTGTTTCGAGTCGTGACTACAATAGCATAATTGGACTAAAGTCCAGAATAACACCTCTGTTCATAAACGAGTTATTACTGGCCCAGTCATTCCTAATCGACAGACATTTTTTAGCACTCCTGGATTAAAGCTTCCCGATGCTATCGCCATCCTTTACAATCCAGCACTGCTATACTATCCATCTGACCCTGACATGAGAACTGATCTCATCGCTCCATCTCTGGCGGTCGCCCCTTGGATGCGTTCTCTCTGCGTGGCTTCCATGGTCACCGGTCTCGTGCACCGGTCTTGTCTGTCGGCCATTAGTCAATCCTGCTACGTGTCCTGTCCAGGCCCATTCACTTCTCTTCATAGTCAATGTGATGCATCTCTCGTATTTGAGTTCCCTGATACTCATTTTCTTCTTTCTTTCTCTAATTCCAAGTACGCATCTCTCCTCACTTCATTTCATTTTCTGCATTAATTTAATTTTCCTGCAGTATTGATGCTTCTTATCCATGCGTCATGGCTGGCAGTATGCGCTCACTGAAAAGTTCTGCGCGCACATCGATACGCCGCTTTCCCAGACAACTCGCATGATGCAATTAACCAAAGTAAAACTAAACTAGATTATGAGTGTGTTTTATTTCAACATAGGCATTGGTTGTTTATTTTCATTATCATGTAACTCTCAGCCAAGTTATCATTGCATGTGTCTGTTTATCATTAACAACAACCGTGGGTCAGTGTTCAATAGGACAGTGATATCGTATTACATTTCTCTTGGCCAATAGCGTAACCAGACTCGTAAGCCCCCTCACCTTAATACAGTGAGACGCAATGCACAGATTTTAAGCATTTGCAAATGTTAGGTTGCCAAACCATCCCATGAACTCTGATCCCTAGTGTGATCAAAGTATCAGTTTAACACGTAGGCTTTCGCGACCAATATTATTCATAATAAAGGTTTTGGGTTAGATCGCGTTATTTATAAATGTGTCGTAACCCTCCACCACCCGACACGGCCAATCAGCAAAAAAGTGTCACGTTGACAAAAGCCAAATAGTTCTCTACTTTAGCCCACCGGTGTGTTGAGTGAATACACAACATTTACAGTTTGAGTACGAAGTTTCACTGGTAATTACATCCAGCATCATCGGGCAATGCCAAATCACAATCGCAAAGCAACACTGCTGAAAGCGATCAGATTGTTAAAACTCTTATGTTCTGTCTCATTTGTTTCAGTTTCCCAGTAAACATATAACGTTTGTCCAACCGTTTCAACCACATGCCGTGGGCCCAACGTTGTGTGTTTACTGGGTTATTTTCCTCTTTGTAAGTTAAGTTATAGATTTATAATTATTGGGTACATATTTCGTTACGTTTTTGCTATGCCTGCACCATTCGGCACCCTGGACACCCTGTAAAAGGGTTGTTCTATCACAGGAGTGCAATGCTGAGTCAGATCCCCATGTGGATTCTCCATCTCATGACATGGTGCCATGTATTACGATTTTAATAATTTGGGGGGAAATGACCGATACATAAATCTGTAAATGTACCACTGCCATTTTATTTACAAATTGTGAATAATCAGTTCTTAAACAATTTAATGTGGCGTGTATTGCGAGCATGAAATATTGTTTTTACTTTAAACCTTTTGTCAAGCAACTTTGTTGTAGAAATCTGGCCAAACTTATAAAACCGTTGCCAAACTTTGGAGATACAAAACAGCACGAAATGTCTTCTTTGGTTCTTTCGGTAAAGTCACGTAGAATGAAAATAAGATAATAAAATAAAACAATAAAATTCTCACGACGTTTCGGCCACAACACAAGTTGCCGTCCTCAGGTGAAGAAACAGGACTGTCCAGAAGACAGCGCTTGAGTGCGCTGTCTTGAGTGCGCTGTCTTCTGGACAGTCCTGTTTCTTCACCTGAGGACGGCTACTTGTGTTGTGGCCGAAACGTCGTGAGAATTTTATTGTTTTATTTTATTATCTTATTCTCATTCTACATGACTTTACCGAAAGAACCAAAGAAGATGAATCCTTGCAGCCACGAAAGCTTTAAATCGAAAGAGCACGAAATGTATTCGCCTTGCTGGCCAGTGTGACTATGTCATCAAGTGTGATGTCATCTTGCGTTGTAACTCGTCGTGGATAGCATTTTAGAATCCATAAAAAAAATTTACCCACGGCACACCACGGGAAGGGGAGTAGAGTCGATATAATTTACAGAGAAAGCAAGAGGAATGGACGTCAGGATGGAAGTCCCCAAGACAAAGGAGAGGCAGGAAGGGGAGGAGGGGAGAAGGAATGACTGGGCCAAGTTATGATATGAATCGGAAGAGAGGGGGGAGAGAGAAGGAAGGAGCAAGCTCTGTCTTTACAGGGAGCAGCGGGGAGAGGGGATGGATTCAGAGAGGGGTGGCCATATACAAGTCCCGAGATTTCAGGAATGCTTGAGCTGATTTATATATATGGACAGGATCTGCTATACATGGGGGATGTGTACCTGGGAAATGTTACAGGCAGTCCACGACTTACGAACGCTTGACTTATGAACGTCTGTACTTACAAACCAGCTTCCATGAAATATAAAAAATATTAACATTGACTTGAAACTCGAACTCGCAATTCCAAACTGAACCGCGGAACTATTTTGTTCAGAGGAGCGATCCTCCACGAGGTGTAATGAGTCGGCCACGCGCTGGGAGTGTTTACGCGTGTGTGAAAGTGTGATTGTGTGGGAAGCGTTAGTGTAGCGGTTAGCGTGCTGCGCTACAAAAGCGGCGACCTGAATTCTATTCTTGCTCATGGCCAACACCAGTACCTGGTGTGGTGCGTAAACATCATCACTGGGGAGACAAAGGCGGCCAGGCATGGCGTTGGCCACTCACCCCCTCATTTGCTTTGCCGGCCTTCATAAGCGCTGCTCGCAAACAGCTTGCCTCAACAGCCTGTTAAGGTTACACGGGGGATCGTTGTGTGTGTCTTTGTGTGTGTGTGTCTGTGTGCGCGCGTGCCCCGTGTCTGTGTGTGTACCGTAATTATGGTGACTAGCATGTCGGAAGGGGGGCACCCCTTTCGACAACAAGCTAGCAGTATTTTTTATAGCGTTGTATGCAAATCTACAATATTTCTTAATTACCAGAGTAACAATGCTTCCCTTTGTGTTAAACCCTAACACATTTCATTACACTGACCTAAGGGGCCGTCCATAAATGACTGTCACGCGATTTTGGACGATTTTTGACCCCCCCCCCCCCTTCGTCACACGGCGTCACAAAAAGTCAGACCCCCCGTCAAATATGACGTCACAAAGCTCTAAAACATGCTTCAAATCGCTTTAAACTGATGTCATTGTAGTGCTTATTTAGTGTGCCGCTGCACTCTGATGTTGTAAGAGAAACCATTTATTAAAAAGTCTATTTAATTAAGTAGAACGTGTTTATATTTATTTAAAGTTGCGCATTTTGATGTGACGTCACATTTCTCAACCCCCCCCCCCCTAGGTGCGTGACGTCATTTATGGACGGCCCCTTATGGGAATTTCAGTAGTGCATTGTTGTGTTCCGACTTACGAAGGGGTCTCAGGAACGAATTAGGTTCGTAACCCGAGGACTCCTCATACGTAACTCTAAATTACACTGATTTTTCTCTTCTTTGGTTCTCACGTAGAATGAGAATAAAATAATAAATTGATAAAATAAAATAACACAATAATATTCTCACCACGTTTCGGCCACAACACAAGCGGCCTTCATCAGGTGAAGGGACGAGACTGTCTGGAGGACAACACTGATTTTCCCATATACATCATGTTAAAATCAGTGGTTACGTTCCTACCCGAAATTTCTGTGGGAAAAAACGTTCATAAATGTCGGTGTACAAAAATGCATGTGATTTTAGGTTGATATACATTTAACTAATAAATACAAATCGAGATGGTTAAAGAGCTTGCTAACTGAGGACTCTTGGGGTGAGGAATGGTGGAGTTATGCAAACGAAGGGGTGGGATCAGCTGCCTCTTCATCTGACGATGAAGCTGGAGCTACAGGAATGTTCACCAACGGTAGCTGCCTCTCTTCTTTGCTCTCCTCTGGCCCTTCTGGCTCGATTGCAGAACGTTTACAAATCCATCCAAAGACAGCTGGACAGAATGTTTCTTCTGCTGCTGGCACAGCTCCTTTTAGCAGTGAAAGCTACTGGTCAATGTCCTGTTAACTCTAGAGCTGCATTCTCTGTTTGGATCATCCTCTCTGAAGGTGTCTATTGCTGTTTCCAAATAAATAACTAAAAGCCTCCCGATAATCTTTTTAAGTTAATATTTGTGGTGGTGATGTCGTTTTATTGGCCTCTTCTTCAGCTCGTACTTGTTCCAACTGCATAAAAAATTATTCAAAATATTTATACAGGAGGAATCCGATGAGCTATAAAGCTCTTTTACACAGATTTCCAGTTGGGGCAGGTCAGAATGTTACAACAAACAATACAAAAACACAGGAGTGTAAAGTATAGGAAAGGTAAACAAATCACTTTAAAAATATATACAAATAAAACAAAACTTTTTTTATTTTAACAGGGAGAGCCCACTGAGAAAAAAAATTCACGCTACCATGGGGAGAGCAGGCGTCAGGGTCAGGATTGGACTCTCGACCTCCTGTATACAAGGAGAGGAAGATAACATCACACCACCATGGCAGCCCTTAAATAAATAAAATATATACGTTCAAATTGCATCAGTACATTAATTCCAAAGCTAGGTAAAGGCAGTAAAACAATAGCAAAAACAGTCCTTGACCACACCAAGATAACACACAATCCCTCAATAAAATTGTACATAGACATTTAACCATCGATACATTTTTCATATTCTTAGCTCTTTCGGTAAAGTCACGTTGAAGGGAAACAATAAAATAATAAAATATATATAAAACAATCAAAATTCTCACGACGTTTCGACCATAACACAAACGGTCATCATCAGGTGTGAAAAACCAACGGCAAGAAACATTTGAAAGAAGTGGCGGTTCGCATTTATTTATTTTTAAACGGTGTTTGTATTTATTTTTAAAAACGTTAGCACCACGGGCAGCGCTTTGGCAGTTTGTTTAGAAGGACGAGTCCATCTGTTCTGAAAAGAGGAGGGGGGAGACGAAAAATTAATGTATGCTGTCTGAAAGCCACCGTAAGCATGAACAATCAATTAAGACCTGAAATGGTTTATCAAATCCTTCCAATGATTGCTAAGCCAGAATCCATCTTCTCGGTTGAAATTTTCTCTGTGCTTGTATATGTGGATAGCCTCATGAACGAATCTCTCATGGTAGCCAGATGGCTTACAAAGAACCTCTGTCTTGGAGAAGTCAATGTCATGTGAGCCTACTGAATTTTAACAATGATCTGCCACGGCCGAGGTGTTGGTCCTACCGTGTTTAATATATTTTATTATTTTGTTGTTTCCCTTCAACGTGACTTTACCGAAAGAACTAAGATTATGAATTACTGCAGTCACGAAAGCTTTAAATCAAAATTTGGTATTGCATCGAAAAATAGTCTGCTTTTATTGCGTGCGTTACGAGTTAAAAGATAGCTTTTTTTTAAATAAACGCATATGTGAAACGGTACACTTATAAGGAAATGTGTTCAGTAATTGGCAACATACATGTGAAACAACACGATTCAAGAATTTGTAGCGGGTGATTCCTGTGTTTTTTTCTTGTAAAGGGACAAGGCTGGCGGATATGGAATCCAGGCGCTGGGCGGGATGTTTGTGGAGAGTATCCACGGAGACTTCCTCAATGTGGTGGGGTTGCCCCTCCACCACATCTTCCGCAAACTTGGAGAGCACTACATCGACGAAGCTGCCACGGTGAGTAACGCACCCCAGTTTCATGCGGCCCACTACAAATATAAACCTGGAAGGAATTTTTGGGAGAGGTCCTCTGTGAAAGATTTCTTCCAGGGCCAGTGCACTGGGGTGCACTGCTTGGTGAGATTTCCAAATGGATTCTACGTCTTGTGACGTGGTGCCGACATACCTCTGTAGTGGGTTGTTTAGAACTTGGCGTGCCAGAGCTACCGCTGAAATCCCTTCAAGTGATCTTAATTCAATGCTGTGGGGAGACAGCACTTTCACATCTCCCTGTTTCAGAACAATGTTTCTCACATGGTAGTCCAAGTTATATTTATGACTGAATCATGCCATGTGTGAGTGACATGCCATTCCTTGAACGATCTGCCCAGTACATTTTAATAATTAACAAAGCTGGTCAGACATTGTGCTATGAACTCGGTGACAGTTTGAACTGATCCTGGCTCTGGTTTTCACCAACCCGCATCGACCAGTGTGGTGAAGTATGGTCAAACCTCATGACCGACAGTTGGGAGGCCTTAAACCAGCAGCAGCGAATTGATAAATGGCTGTAGTTTGTTAATTTACTTAAATGGTGTACAATACAGTTTTGAATTAAACAGCATCCACATGCAACCGCATCTCAAATGCTACAGCCACAGTTGCATTTAAACATGGGTCTTGCATTTCACATAATGGCGAGGACCCGTGGAAATTAACTCGATTGCTGTGGCAAAGGAATTGTACTTTGGACCAGTGCTGGGCTCTGGCGATTGTATTGCAACGACTCTGCTGACAGCAATGATTGTGCAACTGTGTTGACGCAGCCCTTAGTTGGCGATCCTGCTGGGCCTGTCTCTGCCGTGCCCAATGGCGCTGCCGTGTGCGGGGGAGGAGACAAAAAGGGGACGGCCCGGCGAACGCTAGCAGCGGCGCAAGCAGAGGAAACGGCTACGTCTATCTGAGCACCGACCCGGCCGATGTTGGGTCATCGTCGTGCTGCCTTCCGGCGTATGGCGCCCCATTCTCATTAAGTCCTTTTTGCATGAAGTTGTAACCAATTCAGTTCAGCTGATTAGGCTGAACCAGGGTTTCCCAAACTGCAGACCTGGAAAATCCATGACCGACCTTTCTGTGTCTGCCAGTGTCCATCCATGCAAAATGCAAGTGAAGTCGTTAAACACTACACTTGCCTAATGCTTGCTGATCGCCTTGTGTTATTAGAACAGCGCAAATACCAAATTAACTCATGATTATGACAACATTCGTGTCTGCTCACAGGCCAAACAAATGCAATTGGCCAAATATTCATTCAGAGGGCCCTCTTGAACATGCTTGCTAAAGGGTATTATTATTGATTTCACTATTTTAACGTTTTATAAAAAAAAACTATTGTTTTAAATCGACTAATATTATTTAATGTAGAAAGGGCCATTGGTTAAATTGTAAAGGTCTCAAGTGATCTCCATCAAATCGAAGTGGCAGAATTCTTCGGCGTCAAATCTTGGAACATAGGCCCAAAACACAACAACACCATCATAATCACTTAAACCAACCACAGTCCAGCCATGTGGTACAGCAGTTAAGAAAGCTCAACTCACAGTTGGGAAGTAGCGAGTCCAAATTCCAATTTGCAGAGAGTGAATCCACGTGTGGTCTCTAGTTTGTGGGAAATTAATAGGTCCTTCTATAGAGAGATTAGCCCCTGCCATGGTAATGTGGGATTGATCATGAATGGCTCAGGGTTGTCAATCGAAATGAGTGCCGCCCTAATTTCGTTTGCACAGGAGACGCTGACCTTTGACACAGATGACAGAAAAAGTAGGCCGGAAAAGATGGCAATAATTTGGGGAGATCTTCATTCAACAGTAGATTGATCAAGGTTGGTGACGACGGTGATAGTATAAGTTAGTCAATGATAATATATCAAGAACATTTTGAAAATAAACATTTTTGTTGTTTAGTTTTAAGTTATTTCAGCTCCCAAAAAAATATGGCCTGAATTAACTTGCTTTTATGCAGGGCTGGATCAGCCTGAACGTTTGACATTGCTTTTGGTCTCGCTTGAGAAAATAAAAAATATACAATTACAATAATCAGTGAACCAAATAATATGCCTCCGCTGGAGTTGTGACCATTAAGCTGATGAGGAGTGAGCAGAGCCCACTACCTGTTAATAGTTGTAAAGTGGACAGATCCCACAAGCGGTTCACATTTGTAATGTTGGTGTCTGTTGAAGTGTTTTTCAAGTTTCATTTATTAGGTATAGCCCTGTGAGCCATGTGGCTCTTGAGTCGGGTGCAACCGCAACAAACAAAACATGAACAAAGAACATCTTAAAGCGACGACGCGCAACAGAAAATCCTGGATAAACCAGCAAATCTTCCAGAAAAAAAACACCCTATTACAAGGCTGTGTGCAAAAATCCCAGTGTGATGCCAGTAAAACAATAACCATAAGACAATTTAGATTAAAGTTATCAGGCCAACTACGCACTTCCGCAAGAAACATGGCTTAACCATATGTTTTCGAAATCACCAAAATAAAGCTATAAAAACAATGTAACAATAGTAATCATAGGAACTGTGATTCAAAATTAACAATAAACGATATACAGTGAGGGAAAAAAGTATTTGATCCCCTGCTGATTTTGTACGTTTGCCCACTGACAAATGATCAGTCTATAATTTTATTGATAGGTTTATTTGAACAGTGAGAGACAGAATAACAACAAAAAAATCCAGAAAAACGCATGTCAAAAATGTTATAAATTGATTTGCATTTTAATGAGGGAAGTAAGTATTTGACCCCTCTGCAAAACATGACTTAGTACTTGGTGGCAAAACCCTTGTTGGCAATCACAGAGGTCAGACGTTTCTTGTAGTTGGCCACCAGGTTTGCACACATCTCAGGAGGGATTTTGTCCCACTCTTTGCAGATCTTCTCCAAGTCATTAAGGTTTCGAGGCTGACGTTTGGCAACTTGAAGGTCTGGAGACTAGCTAGGCCACTCCAGGACCTTAATGTGCTTCTTCTTGAGCCACTCCTTTGTTGCCTTGGCCGTGTGTTTTGGGTCATTGTCATGCTGGAATACCCATCCACGACCCATTTTCAATGCCCTGGCTGAGGGAAGGAGGTTTTCACGCAAGATTTGACGGCACATGGCCCCGTCCATCGTCCCTTTGATGCGGTGAAGTTGTCCTGTCCCCTTAGCAGTAAAACACCCCCAAAGCATAATGTTTCCACCTCCATGTTTGACGATGGGGATGGTGTTCTTGGGATCATAGGCAGCATTCCTCCTCCTCCAAACACGGTGAGTTGAGTTGATGCCAAAGAGCTCCATTTTCGTCTCATCTGACCACACCACTTTCACCCAGTTGTCCTCCGAATCATTCAGATGTTCATTGGCAAACTCCAGACGGCATGTAAATGTGCTTTCTTGAGCAGGCGGACCTTGCGGGCGCGGCAGGATTTAAGTCCTTCACGGCGGTGACTATGGTCCCAGCTGCCTTGAGATCATTGACAAGATCCTCCCGTGTAGTTCTGGGCTGATTCCTCACCGTTCTCATGATTATTGCATCTCCACGAGGTGAGATCTTGCATGGAGCCTCAGGCCGAGGGAGATTGACAGTTCTTTTGTGTTTCTTTCATTTGCGAATAATCGCACCAACTGTTGTCACCTCACCAAGCTGCTTGGCAATGGTCTTGTAGCCCATTCCAGCCTTGTGTAGGTCTACAATCTTGTCCCTGACATCCTTGGAGAGCTCTTTGGTCTTGGCCATGGTGGAGAGTTTGGAATCTGATTGATTGCTTCTGTGGACAGGTGTCTTTTATACAGGTAACAAGCTGAGATTAGGAGCACTCCCTTTAAGAGTGTGCTCCTAATCTTATATCGTTACCTATATAAAAGACACCTGGGAGCCAGAAATCTTTCTGATTGAGAGGGGGTCAAATACTTATTTCCCTCATTCAAATGCAAATCAATTTATAACATTTTTGACATGCGTTTTTCTGTATTTTGTTGTTATTCTGTCTCTCACTGTTCAAATAAACCTACCAAATTATAGACTGATCATTTCTTTGTCAGTGGGCAAACGTACAAAATCAGCAGGGGATCAAATACTTTTTTCCCTCACTGTACATAACATGTACGACCAAACTTGCAGCCATAGCTGGCAGCATAACACTCCCAGTGTATGATGTGTGAGTGAGTCAGTGGTAGTGTGAGTGGGTGTATGATGTGTGAGTCGGCGTATGATGTGAGTCAGCGTATGATGAGTCAGTGTATGATGTCTGAGTGAGTCAGTGTATGATGTCTGAGTGAGTCAGTGTAAGATGAGTATCATGGCATCCTCCCCGCCATCACGGCCTCCTCCCCGCCATCACGGCCTCCACGCCATCACGGCCTCCTCCACGCCATCACGGCCTCCTTCCCGCCATCACGGCCTCCACGCCATCACGGCCTCCTCCACGCCATCACGGCCTCCACGCCATCACGGCCTCCACGCCATCACGGCCTCCTCCCCGCCATCATGGCCTCCTCCACACCATCACGGCCTCCTCAAGGTCAGGGTTCTTGAAGTAGATTAAACAGCGGGTCACGTAACCAAATTTGCATGCGCTGCCAGTTTCAAGTTTTGTGAAGGCTACGTGATGTCACGCGTCACTGCAACAGACGTTGTTACATGGCATCATGGCGTCGTGACACATGTACATGTGACCACTAATCTGTACCTCCTGTATCCAGGTGTCTTCATCTCTTCATTATCCCAAATCTAGGTCTCTCATCTCACAGCTCTGTATTCTCTTGATACGTCAGCGACCAAGATCTCTCGGCGGGTGACTCCAAGACTATTCAAGACCTGAATTTGTCTCATAGGTCCCCAGTTTTAGAACCCTGCATGAGGTTTCATTTGAAATTCATGGTCCGAGGCTGTGCTTGAAAGTGGTGTAGCCTGTGTATTGTAATAGTTTTCTGTTCTGCGTTTCAATGTAGTGTAGTCGTATGGTATACTAAATCTCGGTAGGGACCTTTGGTTTGGCTCACCACACCAAAATATTTGGCCACGTGGCGAGGGCTGCACGACCCTTACCGCGTGCGTGAGTGTCGCTCCCTCTCTGGGAAACTTGTTTAGACCATCTTCGGTGGAAGCGCACCGCACGTGTGCAATGAGTGGTTCACCTGTGGTACTCTGCAAAGTCAGCCTACCCACAAAGCTGAGTTGAGTCTGTCTGGAAGAAGGGCATAACCAGTTTTAAGTTTTAAGTTTAAATTTTGTGCAGAGCCATTTGAATGCAGGAATACTGTTATTGAGTTTGGTGTTACAGAAGCAAATCACAGACAGTACAATTCCACAGCTATACGAGCCTGATTGTAATAAATTTTTACCTGTATCAATTAAAATATAATCCTGTTTATATGAAGGTGCATTTCTTTTTGTAAAACACGTGGAGCTCGCACACCATTGATTGGGGAGGGGGATTTTCTAGTTTCCCCATTGATTCTAAAAAGTCAAACCAATGCTGGAAAGGTAACTTGGTCAAACCCATTGAAGCAGGAGCCTCCTGAAAGAGTCTTGAGACTCGGTGAAGCGTTCCTGGTTAAATAAAGCGTAGTGTTTTACTATTTACTGAATTATATTTTTAAAATGCTGATGATCAAATCACCTGGATTCATTCGCCCGTTCGTGTCAGCAGCTAAGCAAGGTTGATCCTGGATAGTCCTTGGAAGGATGATCACCATAAAATGAATGATCACCATAAAGATTAAAATAACCATAATTAAAACTCATCTGCCAATAGGGAACTATTTGCATGCCAATTATTTTTTTTAAACATTGTTAAAATATAATTCTCATCAAGCCTGATGGTGTAAAGTGCAGTACCCAAATAATTCGATACTCTATCTTCTAGCCTATGTGCTATGAAGAAGGGCAATCGCCTGACGGACGTTATGGCAAACGGAGCCTTGTATTGCGGGCTACGTGGTGGCAGCAGAGGACAGTGAAGTGGTATCCATTGTACATTAACTTCTTTCGCACCGTACGTAACCAACCGTGCAAATCGGAGGTGTATATCCCTGCTCCCCGCCCACCGCATTGACCAGCGTGAAGTATGGTCAACTAATGCCCTGTGGGGTCAACAGTGTGGAGAGGCCCTCGCCCATCCAACAGTGGATTGACAAAGCCTGCCTCGCATGTCCAATACAAATGTAACTTTTTGCTTTCATAGGGACGGAAGGCCGCGTGTGGTGGGATAAAGTGTAGGTAACTCCCACCTCTTCCCAGGCCCTATCCAGCGTAGAAGAGTAGGCCAATCATCAAGCGAGTGTATCGCGTGCTCCCTCCAGTGGAGGCCCTTTTGTCAGCAGTTGTGAGAGCAAAGCACTTGCAGTGCTGCGCCTTTGCCCATGCAGTGGACACACGACCGGTGCGGTAGTGCAGCAATGAGCGCGCTGCGTTCCGAACCCGGCACCCAAGCGCGATTCCCCATTCACGGCCACCAACACCAGTGACGATTATCTGAACCGGTCCTGGACCTCCTCTAGGTCGACTCAGTCTAAAATGAGTACCTGGTGCGGTGTGTAAACATCGCCACTAGGGAGACAAAGGCGGCCGGGCGTGGTGCTGGCCACCCACCCCCTCGTGTGCCGTGCAGGCCTTCATAGGCGCTGCCCGCAAACAGGACTTGCCTCAACGGTATAAGGCTACACGGGGGATCTGTCTACACTACTGTACATTATATAAAGTGTCGCTGCAATGACAGTTCTGTGTGAACATCGCTTCGGAAAAGCATTATGAACCTAAGAACCGATTTGCTTTTACTAAATCATAAAAAGACACCGATCGAATATTACAATTAATCAGAATACATAATACGAAACGGAAGCAAAAAATGCCATTCCGATCCGCGGTAAAGACAAACAAGATAGCCGCTCAATCTAGATTTGATAGTCGTTCACTGAATCGATTCCTTCGCGGAGGGAACGGCGCTCGCAGCACCGCGCAGGGGGAGGGGGCGGGCGAATCACCCTCGCGAGGTTGTGGATCACCACGCGGGGTGGGGGGGGCGGATCACCCTCACCCAAGATGGCGGCGAACCGTGTTGCTTCAAGTCGAGGACTCCCCCGCGCGTTCGTCCGCTAGGAGAGGGAGCCGAGACGGAGAGCAAACGCGGCCATGGGCGACAGCGAGCGGGACGTGGACGTGCTGATCGTGGGCAGTGGCCCGCACGCCCTCACGCTGCTCACGCTGCTGCGAAACCCGGGCTCGCGGCCCTGGGATTCGCTCAGCGGCCTCTTTGGGGGCCTGAAGCTCAGCGCTGCCGCCAAGGGTCGAGGCGGCAGCGGTGGCAGGAGGGCGGGCGGCAGGAGACGTGGGCCCGGGGCCGTGAAGGAGATGGAGGAGGCGGGGGGTAGTCGTGGAACGGCTGCGGATGGGCGATCTGAAGAGGTGGAGCCAGCGTTGGCCTCCTTGGGCCTGGAGGAGAAGGCAGGTGCGGGGCAAGGCAGACGGAGCAGCCCAGCGAGATGGGAACCCCCGCACACACGGAGATGTCCGCCGCGTTCCCACTGCCTCTAGGGAGCGAGACGTGGGCCGGTTCACGAAGGAGGAACGGTCGCTTGGGACTCGATGACCACTTCCAGGGTTAGGGGAAGCACGGGAGGTGTGGAGATGGAGCGGCCAATTTAATGTTGGTTTAGAAATGAGTACATGGCAGTGAAATGTAGACGGGGTGAAGGCGTGCGCCACTACTGACCATATACAAACATATCATTCTGTTAAGCGGTTAACATTTATTGAAAGTTGATTTAACATTGGCTGCATCTTGGCCCCCTGAGTCTTGATATTAACTTGTAACCCATGCCGGGATGAGTGCACAAACCATTCCATCTTCGCATTGCAAGTTGGCCGGTGGACCTGGCGTTTGATGACGCGCGCCCCTCGGGTGTGCTTTGATGCGGGTGCCTCCTTAGCCGAGGACGGAGAGGAGACCCCGCTTGGCCCGCAGCTGCTGGAGGTCATGGTGGTGGACACGTACGGGCAGTGGCTGGTGCAGTGGGACAAGCAGTTCACGGCCCTCAACATCCCACACCTACGCTCGCATGCGCTGGTCCACACCGACCCCTTTGACAAGGTCAGGATCGTGAGGATCAGGGGTGCAAGGCGGTAAGGGTTCAGCGCATGTAACGGCTTGCTCGTGCCATTTGCTCCGACTCTAGAGAGACCCTCTAAAAGGTTTATTTTTGGCCTATTCTACGTTGGCTAGATGTTTTGAAGAGGTGGGAGTCACCCACACTTTACCCTACCGCACAGGACCTGCCAATGGACACACTGCCGAGTATCCATTGGTGGTAACTGCTGCTTGAGTAGAGGCAGAGGAATTTAAGAAACTGGCCCCATTGTTTCAACTGCCGCACTGGGAGATCAAACTGGATTGCATGTCCAGTGTGCTCACCACCACAGCAGGATCAGCAGACAAAACGTACAATTTTCTTTATTTTGAATCCTTTATATAAGGGGTAGGGGAACTGGTGGGCCAGATAAAATTGCACACCTCAGCGTAATTAAATAATTACGTAAACAAAAAACCTTGCAACGTCTGAGTGTAGTTGTGTTATTACAGAGGCGCACACACTATTTGGTGGAGGCAACACGTTTAGTTAAGTGTGGCTATACTTATTCTATGGGTTTTTCGGTAAAGACACGTAGATAGAAGAAGAATAAAAATATCACGACGTTTCGATCGCAACACAAGCAATCGTCTTCAATCACCTGAACACGACTGCTTGTGTTGCGATCGAAACGTCGTGATATTTAAAAAAAAAAGAAATTATATCCACGTGGCTTTACCGAAGGTCCCATAGAATATGTATTCCTGCAGTCACGAAAGCTTTAAGTCAAGATTTGTGGCTATACTGTTCCTAGACTGTTTGCTATGTGTGTGCGAACGGGCCAGCCAGCATATACGCTGCCTGACCCTCAATCCCCAGCTAAGACTCTACGGCGAACGACAAGCGAAGCACGAAGACCGAAGAGCAACGACCCCTTGAGTTGATCCCACAACGAGCCCCGAATCCCCTCGGCGCTCCCCCTTTATCCCTTGGCCGCCGCCTCGCCCTGCCCTCTGCCACGCCCCCCGCTCCCGGCACGTGTCCTTCATCCAATGGAGACTCAGCGCCCCTCCAGAACTGTGGTTGGCTCAACAACGCAGAGACTTCTATGTCTCCACATAGTAATAGATTAAACACGGCATTGTTTCCAGGTCAAACATTTTCTCCACTAGCACCCGTTTGGTGTGACTAAGATGCTTGCAGCAATAGAAGGATATCAGTTATTGGGCCGCTGTAGAGTAGTAGGCCTCTTGTGACCGTTGGACATATGTATGTATGTTGAACTTCTTATGCACGTAGCTAACTATGCCATATGTTTCGGGATTTCCACCTCCCCCTCATTCGAAAACAATTCCTTGTGCAGTCATTGGCGACTGAGCTAAGATAATAAACTCACTACACTTAAGAACCTGGTTTAATCACTTAGTATTTTGGAGTATGTGGGGCTCTATGTGAGTCTAAGAGTCTCCATGTGAGTCTATGAGTGTATATAAGTTACTTGAGTCTGGTTTAATCACGGGCGGATGCCTGACTTTGAACCCTGGATCTCACTGGTGCCACGTCACCTCCAATCTCTTGAGCCACCTGACCACTGGGCTGCGGTGGCTCTACACAACTGTAATTCAGCACTGTTGGATCACACATGTTGAGAAACTCCCTGTGGGTGTCAAGGTGCTTTCCCAAGGCTTGCCAGGAGGAATCAGGAAGACAAACATGTGTATACCGCCTGTTCCAACTCTATGGGCTATAATGTTTTCCCCTCACACACTTAGGTTATCTTTGGGTGCTCTGGTTTCCGCTTGCATTTAATCGTGCATTAATTGGTTAACACCTTAATATAGAGGGGACCACAGAGCTCAGGCAATTGTTGGCACCAGCTCAATGTGTGGCTGCTGTCTACCCGCTTGTCTGTGGTCCTCAGCGCCTCATGAGTCATCTTCTCTCTCTAAGAACGAGCGAACGCTGTGCGGCGGCGCGTTGCGAGCCAAGGTTATTCAATCGTGATTATTGCATCTTAACGATCTTTTCCCCTAATCACGGAGCCTTGTGGGTAAAACGGCCGACACGCTCACACTTCCGCCCCCCCCGCCCCCCGGCTCCAGCGAGCGCTGCAGGTGTTTGCGACGCAGCAACGCAGGGAGGGGGAGCTGCGAGCGCTGCCCCGGCGGCTCCACATCCTGGACGAGAATGCCTTCTTCAACGACGGGCGCGTGGGCAAGCGTGAGCGCCGGCTGCTGTCGGCGGGTGGCTGCGCCAGGCAGAACGAGCTCTATTTCACACTGCCCAGTACGCGGCTCTTTCGCGACTTCTTCACGCACCAGGTGCGTGCAGAGAGCGGTGCGCGCGGTCTGCGTCGGTGGACGCGGTTACACGATGTTGTCTCCCGGTTCGGTGCTCACGGCTACACAATGTCTCCCGGATCGGTGCTCATGGCTACGCGGTGCGGTCTTCCGGATTGGGCCAATTTCACCACATACTGCTGTAACCATCTTTAGGAGCTAAAGTCGGAAGTCTTAACTGGTCTTCGCCGTTAGAAATTAAATATACATTTCAGGCATTCTCGGTTCAGCAATGGATGAAAGGTCTCCCAATGCAATGTCAGTTATGAGGGTGTTTTGATAACACTTCACCATGCTAATCGATCCACATTGGGGAATGGGGCAGAGTGCCAGACCGGTTCTGATATTACACAGCTGATGTCAGCCTTACATTTTGACTTAAAACTTTCGTGGCTGCAGGAATTCATATTCTTGGTTCTTTCGGTAAAGTCACGTAGATAGAAAAATAATTATTAAAAAAGTTAAAAGCAATTAAAAAAACACTAATGTAAACTGTAGCTTGGTTCTTAATCGGAGTGAGTGTACTGGCAGTCTATAATGTAGACTGTAGCCTGGTTATTAAGTATGGTGAGTGTACTGTCAGTCTGACTTTGAACAAAATAATTTCTGATTCAACCGCATTAATTGATCAATCTAAACAGTTTTCGTTGAAACCTTCTGCTGCCAGGCCACCAAGATTATACGGCTTACCAAAAATACATAAAGTTGATACACCTCTTCGTCCCATAGTCTCTACTATCAGCTCCCCCACCTACAAACTAGCTCGTTTTTTGTCTGAAATCCTGCGTCCTTTCACTGGAAAGACCACCTCTGCGGTACAAAATTCTACTCACCTGGTATCGACAATCAAGGGTATTTGCCTGTCCCCAGACGACCTGCTTGTCAGTTTTGATGTAGTTTCCTTATTCACCAAGGTTCCTGTACCTGACACCATTGCAATCATTGAAGACTTGGTTCATCAAGGACTAAACACTGAGGTACCCCCCCTGGTGAGACACTGTTTAACCAATACATACTTCACTTGGAATGGAACTTTCTACAAACAAACTGAGGGCACCCCAATGGGCTCCCTCCTTTCTCCAGTTATAGCTAACATTTTCATGGAGAAATTTGAGACTGACGCCATCCAGACTGCCACTCTGCGCCCAACCTTATGGAAGAGGTACGTGGATGACACTTTTGTCATCTGGCCACATGGCCGGCCTGCTCTAGACCAATTCTTCGACCACATCAATTCCATACACCCATCCATCAGATTTACCATGGAAGTCGAAATAGATGGCAAGATACCTTTTTTGGATGTCCTAATTAAAAAGAGACCTGATGGTTCAATGAGCCACTCTGTCTACAGGAAAGCTACCCATACGGATGCTTATCTGAAACCGGATTCCCACCACCATCCATCACAGAAGAATTCTCTCATCAAGACTCTGTATCATAGAGCCCAATGCATATCCGACCAGGAACACATAAGCAGTGAACTCAAGCACGTACACCAAGCTCTTAGGGCTAATGGTTACTCCGACTATACAATCCGCAAAGCTATCACTCAAACCATGAAGAAGAACCCTCTTGAGTAGCCTTTCAAAACCATCACTTTACCCTACATTGCTGGGATCACAAAAAAGATCTCCAAAATCTTGAATAAACACAAGATCCAGGTCCGTTTCAACACATTACATAAAATCCGTGATCTGGTTCCGTCTGTAAAAGATGTGATTCCGGACATACAATACCCTGGTGTCTACAAACTAAGTTGCCTCTGTGGTAGTAGTTACATTGGAGAAACCAAACGCCATGTCTCGGACCGCATTCGTGAACACAAAGCAGACCTTAAACACGGTAGGACCAACACCTCGGCCGTAGCAGATCATTGTTCTAATTCAGTAGGCTCACATGCCATTGACTTTTCCAAGACAGAGGTTCTTTGTAAGCCATCTGGCTTCCATGAGAGATTCGTTCATGAGGCTATCCACATATACAAGCACAGAGACAATTTCAACCGAGAAGATGGATTCTATCTTAGCAATCATTGGAAAGATTTGATAAACCATTTCAGTTCTTAATTGATTGTTCACGCTTACAGTGGCTTTCAGACAGCATACATTATAAAAAAATTCGTCTCCCCCCTCCTCTTTTCAAAATATAGATGGACTAGTCCTGGGCAAACTGCCAAATCGCTGCGCGTGGCGCTAACGTTTTTTTATAAATAAATAAATGCGCCGTTTAAAAATAAATTTATGCAAACCAACACACCTGAAGATGACCGTTTGAGTTATGGTCGAAACGTCGTGAGCATTTTTATTGTTTTATATATATTATATTATTTTGTTGTTTCTCTTCAACGTGACTTTACCGAAAAAACTAAGAATATGAATTACTGCAGTCACGAAAGCTTTAAATCAAAATTTTGTAGCAATGTTATTAAGCTGGGTGAGTGTACTGGCAGTCTATAATGTAGACTGTAGCCTGGTTCATAACCTCGGTGAGCGTACTGGCAGTATATAATGTAGATTGTAGCCTGGTTTTTAAGCTAGTGAGCATATTGGCAGTCTATATTGTAGACTGTAGCAATGGTTATTCAACTGAGTGAGCGCTATGCCAGTCTATAATGTAGACTTATTCTGGTTCTTTCGGTAATAAAAATAATATAAAAATTAAGCGAGGTTCAATGATTGCCTAGCAGGCCTTTGATTGGTGGAGACCTGCCGCAGGAGCCATTGTTTTCTCCTACATTAACAGTTGCCCCGCCCATGCTGCTGACAGACTTGGGCTACGCCCATCTCTAAACGTTTATAAACAGTTTTCCTTTAGAGGCTAAACCCCTCTTTTCCTGATGACGGCCGCTTGTGTTGCGATCGAAACGTCATGGTTTTTTGTTTTAATTTTATTTTTTTATTTTATTTGTATTACCGAAAGAACCAGAATAAGTCTACATTATAGACAGCCATAGCGCTCACTCAGTTTAATAACCATTGCTACAGTCGAAATTATAGACTGCTAATATGCTCACTAGCTTAAAACCAGGCTACAGTCTACATTATAGACTGCTAGTACACTCACCATACTTAAGAACCAAGCCACAGTCTACATTATTGTTTATTTTTTTTATGTATATATTTTGTATTCACTTTATTTATATTATTATTTTTCTATCTACGTGACTTTACTGAACGAACCAAGAATATGTTGGCCTTCACCAGGCAACATAAGACAGCGTGCTAAGCACTTTACCACTGCTCCAGCATTGTATGTCTTATTTGGTTGCAATTGTAAGTTACGCAATGCTGTTTTACTCATCTCATTGGGGTTTATTTTATCTCCTGGCCAAATAAAGGATGCAACAATATGTTGTCTGGACAAACGACCATTCAGAAAAACAGACCCCATTGAAGGGCAGAGACCAAGTGAGATTGATCCACTTCTGAAGATGCCCGCAGTGGTGCGTGGTGAATGCTTGAAAGAACAGATGCCCTTCACACAGGCCAGCCAGGAATTCCACAGTTGGAGCAACACAGCTGGTGTCTCGGCCTGCCACATCAGGGGAGCATGCCATTGATTTATCAGGTTTGTATTCTTGGTTCTTTCAGTAAAGTCACGTAGAAGGGAAACAATGAAATAATAAAAATATAAAACAAAATTCTCACGACGTTTCTGAGGTACCCCCCCTGGTGAGACACTGCTTAACCAATACATACTTCACTTGGAATGGAACTTTCTACAAACAAACTGAGGGCACCCCAATGGGCTCCCCCCTATCTCCGGTTGTAGCCAACGTTTTCATGAAGAAATTTGAGACTGATGCCATCCAGACTGCCACTCTGCACCCAACCTTATGGAAGAGGTACGTGGATGACACTTTTGTCATCTGGCCACATGGCCGGCCTGCTCTAGACCAATTCCTCGACCACATAAATTCCATACACCCAGCCATCAGATTTACCATGGAAGTCGAAAAAGATGGCAAGCGATCTTTTTTGGATGTCCTAATAAAAAAGAGACCTGATGGTTCAATGAGCCACTCTGCTTACAGGAAAGCTACCCATACGGATGCTTACCTGAAACCGGATTCCCACCACCATCCATCCTAGAAGAATTCCCTCATCAAGACTCTGCACAATAGAGCCCAATGCATCTCCGACCAGGAACACATTGCCAGTGAACTCAAGCACGTACACCAAGCTCTTAAGGCTAATGGACTACACAATCCACAAAGCCATCACTCCAACCATGAAGAAGGACCCTCTTGAGCCATTCAAAACCATCACCTTACCCTACAATGCGGGGATCAATCAGAGTAGCACCCCAATTTCGGACAATCTGAAAACAGTATTGGCTAAAGGACTAAATTTCGCTGTCACCCCAAAACATATACCGATAGATGATATCATTCCTCAGGTCGATGTAGCCCTCAAAGGTATAGGACACATCCAAGCAGACGTCGCGAAAGCTGAAATAGCTACTATTCTTAAGAATGCTAAGAAACCCATTAGCAACATCAGCAAAGATGAATGCTCTGAACTCGCGAAATTAAAATAGAGACATGATATAGTCATCCTCTCAGCCTACAAGGGCAATGCCACTGTAATTATGGATAAAAACTCATACAACAATAAAATTCAGGACCTACTCAATGATGGTAGTTACTCAAAAATAATAAATGACCCTACTAATAGCCTAACTATAAAAACCAACAAGATCATCACAAGTTCGACCTCCCTAATTGAACCAACTAAACGTCCCTCCCTAAAACCTTCTGCTGCAAGACCCCCTAGATTATATGGTCTTCCAAAGATTCATAAAGAAGGCACTCCACTACGACCCATCGTATCCACAATCAACTCCCCTACCTATAAGCTAGCACGTTTTCTGTCGGATACCTTGCTACCTTTCACTGGCAAGACCTCAGCAGTACTTAACTCAGCCCAATTGGTTTCTATGGTCAAAGACGTTGTACTGTCCCCTGACGATATCCTTGTCAG